TTTAAATAGATAATGAAATACTTAATATCATCGTGCGTGTATCAGCAACAAATTCTCGAAATAGATAAAAAGTAATATGACAGAATATAATGAACAAGCTCCTGTATAATATTTCGTTTACGTAAGCACATATTAATTTGTCAAGTTCCAATCTTAATAAGTTAAATCTTGATTCTCAATACATTATCAAATTCAATGTAAATCAGTAATGCAATATTCATATCGAATTACAGGTACTATTTAAATTATCATTGAATATCAAAATACGCTCTACTTGATCTTTTGTACTGCAACGTTGTATTAGATACAATCACCGCAACAACGTAATGTAAACATTTCGAATACATCAATCTATCAGTTGATGACCGGTATATTACTTAAGACAGGTTCTTTGTAAAAAGTTAATTTCTACCAGTTTGTAATGTAATATCAATACTTTAATTACATATTTTATTCGCGTACTTGATAAGAATATTCTGATTCTCCTTTCCAAATACATTCGAAAGCACTGAAGAAAAAAGAGAGAGAATGAATTATCATTAACGAATATAAACAAAATATGTACTTCCGAATGTTCTGATTAAATTTACGCCAATGGTAATTTAAAATTCCTACTAATTGATTAATTATTCCATCGCCCTCTCTTTTTTCATATGCTCAGGATATTGTACTATAAAAATTAGCACGAAAAACGTGCGTTTATCGTATTGCACTCATTATTGCGCTGTTGACGGTGCAGGGGGTTCATCGTTTGAATCCTGTAGAAAATTACAACATGATGACTAATAAGATAATGACAAGAATTAATCGAACTAAAATTAAAGTGGGGTGCTGCTTACGTGTTCGTTATCTCGATGTTTAGTAGTATCATTTCTTAACTGACGGAGACAGTTTGGTCTGAGTACGTACATAAGAACGGCGAATGCAATCATTAAACAGGTCATGAAGGAGTCTGAGGACGACGTGACGGCAGGTGGCCCCGGTACTGGAAAGTAAGAGAATCGTAAAAATTGGTAACTAGAATTAATATTTGAATATAATCAGTATCAATAAACAATACAAATCCTTACAGTGCGACAAGTTGACACATTCATTATCCGTGCAGTAACTTTGACTCTGTCGCAACTAAAACGGTAAGTCGTAATTCATAAAATACATAATTGCGATTGTAATCGGAAAAGCCATATAGATAAGCCGGAAAGATAAAGATCGTATTCAAAGAAATAATCGGATTTAATGAATGTACGTTAAGATTTATTTCAATCAACGTTTGTTTGCGAGACATGAAATACAATTCTTGCAAAGCTGCTTGCTGCGTCAAATTTTTGTAAACGAAAGAATATGTATTCCATTTAATGGCATGCGCGAAGGTTGCGTCGTATTAAACGTCATATTATTGCCAAACATGCAATGGATTGTTCTGAATAAGTCAAATGAGAACGTAATCGTCGTGATGATAAAAAAGAATGATAGTAATGTTCCCTTCGTATACATAATTACGTTCGTTAGAACGAAGACGCGGTAGTTATTCCTTCTCATTAAAAATTCTAATAACTTTGTCATAGATCAATAAACAGTAAAAAGTTAGCGTAACAATAAATTTATATTTACAACAATGCATATAGCATGGACGACACTTTTTGCAATAAAAAAAGATAATCATTGCCACTTACGATAGAAAGTAGGCGTTGCATAGTCCATTCATGGTTCCATATGTTTTCACAGATATCAAATGCTTCGTCAGCCATTGCGGAATCTATATCTGAAATTGTACTTATAATTGTAAAATAAATAGTTTTACATGCAGTACGTACATACAAGTCAAGTACATACATATATACGAAGTCTTTAGAAGTACATATTACGAGCTATATTCGTGATTAGATATATGTCGCGATAATTATACTGGACAGTCGTGCAAGTGCTATGCATTTCACATAATGAACAATTGTAATAATAAGTACTTAGAATGCACGTGCATTTGGTGAATAAGTAAAGAATCATTTGTTCAGAAGCACAATATCGAAGCACCTATCGGATCAAAAAGGAATCGTTACATATCTATGTATATATTTATCAAATGTTATAAAACTGATGTGGCAAAACGATTGTCATAAATATTTACAAGAGAGTTAACTTTAAGGAATTCTCAAGGCTTTTCGCAAGCCACATTGCCGCCGCATACTTAAAACATTAAAAAACGCCTTTTAGAGAGGTGTATGCTCTATCATAAATAACATCCTGGATAGTTCAGTACTTAGAATATAATTGCATCAGTACAGGAAACATACAAATATGTGTACTGTTATGTATGCACCTGTGTGTTCTTTTACTACAGTTTCTCGTAAATCATTCGATTTATTGAGTATATTTACAAAGGGAATGAAATATTCGAACAAAAAATGAAATATTTCGATCGTTAAAAATGCAACGTCAAAGAACTACTAGAACTTGCGTTGAACAGTGTTTCTGTACAATATGTATACGTACGTATCATATGTATATACATATGTACATAACGGAAGCATTCTTCACGGGTAAATTGATTATGTAGGGCGAGGGAAATAAAATAAAAATTCAGAAATATTTTACGTGACAAGAATTATCGGATGCTATATGATGGATCGTTGCTTGTGAGTCGTTGACGTTGCCGCCAAATGAAAAAAGGGAATCGCTTAGCGCAACAAACGAATAGCAATCTCGACGAGGAAAGAAATTACTCAATAACGAACGGCTGTAAATAGATTTTCTGCGATACAACGAAAGTGAGAATTTGTCGAAATAGTTACCTATTGACCCTCTAGTAGCTGACACTGCTATAAAATATGGACTTGCACCGTATTTACAGTCAGTTACACCGTCAAGGCGAGCCAGCCATTATCTCGAGTCGAATGGAGTCGAACACTCAAACTGAACTTCCATTGGTGCATTTCATGGTTGTGCATCGTGTTGCGATTTGGAGCTTGGTAATTGGTTGCCTTCGAATTATTAATAAATTTTGTTCTTTTATGCTCGAATTACCTATTTATTTCAAATTCGTTATTTTGACAATGATTCAAGTATATTATTATGCTGCATTCTTGAGTATGATTTATTTCACATTTTTGTAAAAACAGTAATCATTTAGAAAACGTGCAAGCAAGAAAAAATGTTATTGAATACTTTGTCTTTTCTTTAATTTACATTTTATATATACGACATGCATTACATAATATATATGCTTATATTTAAACAATAAGTAGTATATAAAATAAAATTTGGAAAAATAGAGATTACAAAGAAATTTTCAGTGCAAATATTCTAGCCAC